CGTAAGACTTGGAGACAAAAAAATTTTTTCATTCCCGTAACTAATTGTGCCGAACATTTATGGAAAGTTTCGTCAAGATCGGATGCACGGTGTCGGAGATAATTTCTGAGGGGGGGGCCCTTAAGTTTTAACTTAAATGACCAAATTCATTTCAGGAACTGACATATGAAATTTAGTTTCGGGTAGTTTACAATAGCTATCAGTGTACATTTTTCTTTATAACTAACAGTTTCCATAACACTGTTTTATTTGTTGCTGAGTTTGTTTCTCGAAAAACAAGCATTGCCACGAGGCTCAACATCATCGATAACTTAGGTTTTCTGCTGATTTCTAAGATTACCAGATCTAACCATAACGAATTGCTCATTAGAAAGTATGTTCCATTCGAGACGTCGAGAGTATGTGGATGTTGATTTTGTGCAGAACTGCGGCCGGTTTCTTAAAAAAACTTAAGTCAAACAGAGGTCATGCAGTAAAAAACATTTGTAGTTTAGACAACTTAGATTATTTTACAACAATTTTCTGAACAAAATCTCTGAAAAGTTATGTTCAGCCTAATTATGATGAGTTGGTTGAGTTACGAACTTCAAGTTACAAAATTTAAATATTTTTCCACTTAAAAGTTTAAGTGAGATTGAGAGGTGATTTAAGTTAAGTAATGTTCGAGAAACACTTAGCTAAAAATTTTGACTTAATACAAAGTTTTCATATAAGCTTTGCTTTAAGTTTTTTTTAAGAAATTGACCACTGTCAAGGGAGAATACTTTAGGCTATTTAGCCGCTATGTTACACTAAAGATTCTTCTCAACTTCAGAATCTGAGAATTTCTTCTTGCTTTCACCCGACAAATACATTACGTGAAAAATCGAGATGTCTATCGTCCAATATTTAAGAAGATACAGTAAAGTTTTCTCTACACAAGAAAACTTCGAACTTTTTAACTCTTTTTACTTTCGACAACTAATGACATTCTATTGTGAAATGGAGAATAATATGAAAAGCTGTTTTTCAATAAATTCTCTTAGCGGCTTTCCTCTTCACAATAAAGTGATGCATATCTTTTTTTTTAGTGTCTACTGTAACAACAATCGAACAACTCTCTATTGAATTATGGCGCGACATTTTTGATTATTTAATGTCCTGTGAAATTATTGCTGGTTTCTCTGGACTTAATTCACGTCTAAATCGCTTAATTAATTCTATTCCGCTCTTTATTGATTTATCGTCGAATATATCCTTAACAACATACAAGAATGTTTGTCAGTCATTTCTTTGTCATACTGGCTCAATTCTTTCGCTAAATTTAGCTGAGAAACACAAAGTGGGAGCTATTGATTTATTTCTATCTTTAACTGATATTAAACAGTTTATCAATCTTCAAAAATTAGTCATTGTAAAAGCAGATCACGACAATCTCAGCACTATTGTTTTCAAACTGCGACATCTAAAACATCTATGTACACTAAAGATTGACGATGATTTGTTTAGAAACGTTGAAAAACATATTATCAAGAAAATTTTGACGATAAAATCTCTAAGAAGATTAGATTTATCTACAATCAGTAAAAAAGGATATGCATATCTAAAAAAATCGTCTATCGAACAGCTAACACTCAACCAATGCGATCGAAATCTCATCTATTATCTTCCACAATCAATCAAAAGTTTGACAGTCACAAAAGAATTATCGTTGCTTTTCACAAAACCACCATATTCACCGACAACGTTTAGTTATCCAAATCTAACACACTTGAAACTGACCGTTCACCATTTTATCAATCATAATGATGATATTAATTACTTGATAATAAGTATTAGTCATTATGCTGAATACGTATCAATACAATTACTATTTACGGGAAATTTACTATATTATTCGGGTGATTTTTGGGCTGAATATTTATCATCATTGCCTTTTACGTGTAAAATCGAAATTATCGTTGATACTCCAGTCTCAGATACCAATGAAACACATTTAAATTATATTAAACAAACATTTCAAGTATCAAATCAATTTTGGATTCAACATAATTTGTCAGTTGAATTCCATTATAATAAACATACTTCACGTATATATACGTTACCCTATCCGAAGACAAAATATGATTTTCAGTCGTATAGTAACGATATGAAAACGGTTATAATCATTGGTTCTCAAAGGTACTTGTTTTAATATTAGTATTTCGCATAACTTTGACAATTGCGATAGGAAAAATGAGATTAAATTTAGTAACAAGAGTTTACCCTATAAGTTTCAGCTTTAGACGAGCGCTACATAACAGACGTTCAAATAAAAGATGGTACCAAATTGAGCCACTTTAGTCTTAGGATACTTTGCCGTTATATGCTCTCAAAGGCCGTTATTAGTTCTTTACATTTATTTTGTTCACAGTGCTATCTTTGGAATCGGATAGTTTATGTTGATAACGCTGAATTTTTATTTATTTCAGGAATGAAGATTATGATCTTGTTCGAACATTAGAAATTCGAACAAACGAAAATTATAGCGATCGTCATTTTCGTAAATTAAAAGTGTTGATATTCTCTCTTTTTGGCAGTTGTTTGCCGTCCATGAGCGGAGAATGGTTATCGATACTGAACAAAACTGTTGCTTCATCACTACCGCGACTGAAGAAATTTGTGCTTGAAAACAGCTTCAATGACAATATTGAAATAGAAATATTTTTAACCGAAGTATTGACTCGTGCGCCAAATCTTGAAATATTAATAATTCGCCACAGAGATATTTTCGAAAAATTGATGGACGTAATAAATCAAATGTCACATCCACGACGAATTGTCCGATTAGTACTTTGGACAAATTTAACACTTGAAAGAGCTGGTGAACTCGTTCGAACATTGCCTAAGTTACAACTGCTAGCATGTGAGATAGACGAGAATGATTTACAACGAGTGTTACCCGTAGTATTTGAACAAATGAAACATTTAGTATTGTTGCAGATAATTGTTTCTCATGCTTCATACGATTATTCAAAAATAGGTACATTGTTGGACGATAAACGATGGACAATAGACGAGAGAAATGATAGTATATTAGTGTGGATGTGAGTGTGAGAGACTGTATTTAGCTTAGTTGAAAGATGTATATTACGTGTTTTGAATATTTGTTTGTTATTTTTCTATTTTGAACTGTAATAACAGGTTTAATTAGTTTAATGGAGAAACACTGATATTATTCGTACTGGTTTGTTCTTCTCATAGATCTTAGTTCTTTTTAAGCATCAGTTCTTTTTTTTTGGAAACTCCAAAACATGATGAATATAATTTATAAAAGATATCATTTAATACAGAAAAACATAGCATCATTTACGAGATATTTGTTTTCTGTTCGTATTTCAAATTCTGTTTACAAATGCAAAGTACAGCATGAAGATCGTAAAATCACTTTGAAAACAATCAGAGTCTATATAACAAACATATCAGAACACGATAACAAACAATTAAGCATTTAGTAAGTCTGCAATAACCTAGCTTTTATAGTAGTTTTAAACTTTACTGCAACGTTATTTCTCTTTTTCTAACGTTCTCTAGACGTTTTGAAGGCTGTTTTGTTCGTTACCCTTTACTAGTGTAAACATTTTTCCTTGTTACACTCGAATAATAAATCTGAAAAATATTAATTTCTAAAACTCGTCTTATTCTGCGATACGTTCGACGAAGGATAGGTCAATGGTCTTTATTAAGTGATATTACATATATTCATTGAAAAACTTCTGAAAACTCAAGACCATTCTCTAAATCATTATGAAAATTTATTGTATTTTGAAAAAGATAAATAGTGACACTTTCCTCTAATGGAATCATTATTATGTCTTTCACATGTCATGGAACAACTCTTTTGTTCGTTACTTTTGTTTTTGTTTTGAAGAAAAAATCTAATAGACGAATCAAAATATCTGTCGTTCATAAGCTTATAACTCAAAATAGATAAAGGCAACTTAACATCAAAATTAAATGTCAAAAACTTGACAACAAGATGCAACAAGTTTTAAGATAACATAAACAGTAATGTTAGTAGTAGCAAGTTAAGGAGGGATCCGCCACCCGTCTTTTTTTACCAGTTTGTAGAGGACACTTTGGAGTATATGTCTCAACAAAGCTTTCAGTTATCGGATTTGTAGTTTTTGGTAAAAAAATTTTGAAGTTTTTTTCGGGCTTTCTGCCCTATTTTTAAAATTTCAATAAATCTTTCAGCTTTTGATATGTGGAATTGATTCCGGCGTAGATCGATAGAGAATATTGGCTTGTATAAGCAGAAAAACTTTACATCGTTCTCAAATGAAGTTTGACGAAGAAATTTAATTTTCAACCTCCCGAGGAAATTTTAGCTAAAAGTATTTTGAAAAAAGCCGTACAGTTAGTTTCGCTGGCAGCAAGCATTTTGAAACAAAACTCTGGATACAAAAGTTGTTCAGAATCGAATGCTGCAGTCCCTCACGAGAGCTTTTTGGAAAATTTTCTTTTTTTGCTTTTTAAATTGCAAAATATGAAATTTTAAAATTTTAAAAACTGTAATTTATATACTAAAAACAGAAAATTTTAAAAAAAGCTCTCGTGAGGGACTGCAGCATTCGATTCTGAACAACTTTTGTACCCAAAGTTTTGCTGCAAAATGCTTGCTTCGAGCGAAACTAGCCGTAAGGTGGAGTGAAAAGATGCTTCGCTGAGCCAAAACTCAACGATATTTTCAAGCTTTAAATTTTTTCGTCAAGCCTTCCCGGTTTGTAGAGGACACTCCGAAGTGTATGTTCGGAAGTTTTTTCGGGCTACTGGTTCAAATATTGAAAATAGAGAAGAAGTTATATTAATATGTGAAACCGTTAAGACTCTATTACCATCGAAGGAAGGAGAATATCAACCAAAAGATATTGGAATTATAACATCATATAGAAAACATTGAGTCGAATGCAAATACCAAAAGGAGTTGAAATTAGAACAGTAAGTCATTTTTTTCTGTTCTCATTAAATAAATGAAATGTTTTCTATGCATCCTTTTTCAGGTTGATGGATTCCAAGGACAGGACAAAACAATTATTCTCATTAGTTTGGCACGTTCAAATATTGATCATGAAATAGGATTTTTGGTTAATGAACAACGAATGAATGTATTATTAACCAGAGCCAAATGTGCTATGATTGTTTTTGGAAATAAAGTTACATTGAGTGCAAATGCGCTATGGAAAGAATGGATCGATAGCGTTCCAAATGTCAGTAGTGATATATACAAGAATGAATGTTTAGTGGCAACACCATCAAATAATAATCGATCATCAGTTCAACAATAAGCAGTGTCAAATACAGGAGGAACAGGACAAACACGTGGCCGACTTAGCGGTAGTAGCAGTAGAGGAAATTATCAACGAGGAAGAAATCAAAGAAGAAATTATTAATCGTAATAAGTGACGAATGTTTTTAATATTGTTTTTCAGCAATTAATACAGGTTTTTTATATTTTTGTTGTTTAGTGTTAAAAAGCAAGTTTTTATTCAAGGAACTTCATTTAAGAGAATATAATGTATAGTTTCATGTTTCGCATATTAAAATATAATTCAGCGTAAGATCTTTTTATATTCTTGATAGTGATTGAACAAAACTTGTCGACAATATTTAGTCAGATTTTTTGTTGATCTAAACTTCAAAAATCTTGATCTTGAATCAGATTTTAGGACCACTCCTACCCTGGGTCAGAAACCGATCTCAGCCCAGATAGGTTTGATGTAAACCAAACTCTCTGGGAATGTTGACGATGTAGTAACGAAACCTTTTTTTGGCACCAATTTCAACTGTTCGTGAGAGACCGTCACAACAAGCACCGAAAGTGGGAGTCTACCACGTACAGGAATTTTTATCCCAGATAAATAATAGAGCGCTCGGGCTTTTTTTGTTTTGCAGTAAACACTTATGGGTAGGAGCTGACAGAGTCCGATTTTTGAATTTCTCATTTACTGATTTCTGGTGTTTATTAGAACTTTAATATCCGAAATATCCTTGAAACATTTCTTACAAGAAAATGGAAACATAATTTGAAAGTCGGACTCTATCCAGTCCTAGCTATAGGTGTTATTGACAAATAAAAGATAAAAATTTTCTTTCTTCGATGTATTGTTACCGAGAATTCCTGCACGTGGCGAAAGCTCAGAAGCTACAAAACAGTCTTGAGAAAAACGCAATGTAAATTTCAGTTCTGTTAAATGCGTTTTACTTAAAAACTGTTTGAGCATAAAATAATTTGTTGATACTTTGCTATGGATTTTCGGTCACGGCGGATCTAATGAGCACGTGCACGGACATGCGTGTACGTACACAATGCTAGTGGCACACTGTGCATTCAGGCTAGCTTTTGGTGAAAAAATGAAAGTTCATTTTTCAGTGATGATTAATATACGTTGAAACATGCTCTATTTAATCATTTTGTAAGGTGAAGAATTTCAATATAGATAATAAGAGATACACCACCTTTTTCATCATGAAAATCGACTATTTTCTGTTTGAGACGTTTCGTCTGAGGATGTCTTTTGAATAAAGACGAAACGTCTCAAACAGAAAATAGTCGATTTTCATGATGAAAAAGGTGGTGTATCTCTTATTATCTATGCTCTATTTAATAGCAAAACAATTTTTGTCTTAGAACTTATTTATGAGATTTGTTCTTTCCTCAGCTCGATAATTTGATGACTTGATCCATGCCCGGCACACGTACCGATGCGAAGCACACCTAGGTCAACAGATTCTTATCTTATCTTGAGTCACACGTGGTGAAAAGAGTTGCATCAAAAATATACCATGAGCAAGACCACACCGCGCTGGTTGTGCAGTTTTCCATAGAACTTTTGACAGTGCAGTACGTGATGGGGCATGAAATCATGATCTGTTTCTTACACAGCAGCCTATAGAAGAAATCATACACTTGGCCTCAAAACTGTTTTAGTTGAATGCCGTAGAGGAGGGCAATCAGTTCTGATAAGTTCGGGCGATGTCTGTGATGATACATGCCGACGCTAAATGGAGATTGGGATATCTGCCTCGATATATTAAGAGAAAATTAAATTCCACTCGATTCTACTGCTAATAGTTTTTAATCGTCGGAATCTCTCAGTATAGAACAGAGACGACTCGGAAGACCCTTTTATTCAGAAAAAGTTCTGCGCGTAGTTTAGGACAAAACCGTATCTTTAGCGGATGACTGAAGCACTCTGTACGGCTAAGCCAAGTCACTCAAATATATTCTTCAACAGCTAAGCTTATTTTTTCTTCATAACATGGGCATATTGTTGGATGATGAGTGCATGCTTGTTGTCTCGCCTTGATAGACTGCATCGAAAAATGATCGAAAACTACACCATAAAATTGTTCGAGCCTCCGACATCGTAATTCGAGAGCTAAATAATGAAACACATTTCTGATCGTTCCATTCGAGTCTTCTTCTGGTAAAAACGAATGTCGATCATGTTGGTTATTAACAGGAGTATATGGCCATCGGAAAGCATGAAAGTATGTTGCAGCATTTTTTAGTTTTTTCTCGACATAATCTTGGAATTGATCAATTTTTAGAATCACATCAATCATATTTCTCACATTATTGCCATGGAATTTCGTACTAAATGAACGCCAATCAATGAATCGCTCAAAAGGAAGTACGATACTTTCGGCTATTATCAGCGGGATGACTCTGAAACAAATCGATTCGTAGAGGCGAGGCGACCATGGACTGAAACCTTCAGGGCACAGATGATAAATACTTGAACGAATTGATTCAACATAGTCAGTAGATGAAATGTGACCATCGATTAAAGATATTGTAGTTAACTTTTTTCCATCTATCGTACTGAATTTTTCATATCTTTTTCGTTCTCCGACATCTTCTTTGATCAATGATGATAGACGTTGTCGCGCTGATAACATTGAAACGGAATTGTTCACTGTGCCAGCGAAGAACAAAAGGTTTTTTCTCATATTATACCACAGCTTGAAGTCAGAGCGCATCGTAAGTGGCTTATCGTGAATTGATTGCCACCGATTAAATGGTGGAATGACAATATCATAGTTATGCCGATAAAAAGGTATCCCAATTTTATGAATATACAAAGGTGATGAGTCGCGAGGTAATAAATCTTGTCGCATACCAGTAAATGCCAACTGGATTACGTGCTTGAGGGTACCTAGAAGATCGCTATCACGAGTGATACCCAAATTTCTGCCAACTGTGAAAGCAATAATGTGATTCGCGCCTGATGTCATGTTCCAGTAGGGAAACAGAGTACGAACATTGGTCAGTAACGGTATGAGATAGTTTCGATTCAAATGATTTGAGCGAAATCGATGTTCGGACTCGGTTGTCGAACTCGGTCGATAGAATACACGATCGATACAAACGTAATCATGTGGAATCATGTAATAATCAGCCAAAAGAGGATCCTTAGCCCAGATGAGATTATGCCGTGAGAGTGGATATACGTCAGCTAAGCGTTGAAAATAGTCGTGTAGAAAGTATTCTGGCGAGTACATTTGATGCGACGGATATTGTCGACCACAGCTTGAATCCATCGGCGTCTGATAGGCAAGGTATCTTCGATCATGAACAATTTCTGATTTATTATAGATCCAAAGGCGGAGAGGTCTACTCTGGAAATCGTCGATCTGATGCAGAGATCGCTGGTGATCTATCACATCGAGCCAATCTAGAGTATTCTTGACATGACGTGATGACATTGCATGTGTTGCCATAATTTCTCCACAAACTGTTTCACAAAAGTTTTCTTTTGAACGTTTAATGTCTTCGACATAATTATGATAATCTTCTTGTTCCGTTTTGGACCATCTCTGCGTGATGTTAGGATATCGATCGAAGTAAATAAAATTCTTCGGCGTACACCAGCATGTTCTCAGTGTTCTATCGTTCGTTTTGAAGGTTGTATTGATGAAATGCTCATAGAACAACTGCGAGAAACGAGGTTTATTCTTCCACCTGTCAAATTTGTTTCTCATACAATCAGGAGTCGCATTAAGTGCCTGAACAACATGAAGTCTAAGTGCCTTGTGATGCGAGAGTAAGACACCACCTAGACCGACGGCATCGTCTTTTAAATCTGAAAGGATGCTTTGATACTGAGATAAATTCGATACTGGATCGTTGTTGTAGTGAACAAAATACGTTGGCGGAACTGGATTGAAATAATTTTTATCTGGACGATGAAATGGACATCGTTTATCTGTGGTCGCATGTTTAGTCAAACAGTAATCAAAATAAAACCAATTTGCGAAGGTATGATCCAAAATGAATCGATTTTGCATGGCCTTGTCATGATCAGAATGCACGAGCAAGCTTGGCCGATAGCCGGGCACGATGTATAAGATTTGAGCTTGAACAGGAAGAACTCGACAAAGCAATGAGCTGATCCTCGATCCTTTACTGATGCCAAAGAGATACAAACGTGGATAATGTTGAAACTGTTTGTAGTAGACATCATTCATCCACATTCGCAGTGTAGTATAAATCCAATAAACATCCAGATTCTTCTGAATAGGCATCGAAATGCTATACGTTTTTCTCGATGTACAGATAGCCAGAATTGAAAAACCTGAAGAGCGCATCTGTGAAAGGATACTCTTACCAGAAGAGAAATGCCACCAATCGATGCATGCCCGTTTGCAACCTGTTAAAAGGAGGATGAGACGAGACTGATTCAATGATAAATCATGTTTATTCAATTCATATCGATATTCATAATGATATGCACGATTCGATGATAGGTTGTAGAATTTCACTTGACTATTTATTTTCTTTGTCGCTGGGGACGAAGAAACGTGTTCATCTGTTGCAGTATGATTGATTTTATTTGAGAATGCTTGAATTGGTAATACATCACCAGTTTTTCTCCGCAACAAGATCACGATACTTTGAATGAAGAATAGAATAGTTATGAAAATGATGAAATGGTCACGTTGAGTCATTTTTTCGACACAGGATAGGTACTAGCATTTCTTCGAAATATCATCAAGTGCAGTCTCTTGCAGTTAGCCAAATGCAGTGAGATTTTTTCTCTTAAAATTTCACTCTCATAATTGTTCCACTCCGAAGTGCTTACAAGAACTACGAAGGTCTTCACTGCAGAGAAGCCCGTCAGAATCATGGCATGCCAAACTTGTCGATGTGAAGTGATGCCACAGTCGAGAGAAGAAAATGAAAAAAAGAAAAAGCCATGACGGATACCAGCAAAAGTAAAGTTTTTTTAAATGATAGAAATTTTTCTTTTTTTGTGTAATTTATTTAACAGCTATGAAAAATTTTCGTTTTTTCGTCGAAACCTCAAAAAGATTATACTTACAATAATAACGTTCGTATTGATTTTTCGATAATATACCTCAATCTACTCGAAAACAAAATCAGAGGAAAAGAAGAAGAACAAAAAAAAGGAGAACATTTTAGATGTAGTTGTTACTAAGTGATTCCAGCAAGCTTTTAAAAAACACATTAGAATGTTGTTATTTTAGAGTAGTTGGATCTTCAATATGGAAATAATTTCGATGGCAGGTAAAAAAGTACAATTATTTCTATCGGATTTTATCGAGATTATTATCTCACCCTTCACAAAATCGTTTTTACTGGTATCATAGTCATTTTAGGCGATATTCAAGGCTTTTCGAATTCAAATAAGACTTTTAGTCATAAACTAAATGCAGATTCGTTATCAGCACAAAACACGGAGTCGAATGAAGTGTATTTCCAGTCAATTTGACAACTTTCATTTTTTGACCTGCATACAACAATTGCAGCTCAACGACGATACCTGAAAAAATGAGCAAAAATGAAAGTTGTCAAATTGACTGAAAATACACTTCATTCGA